CTAAAGGCATTTGGACTTGGATGAAGAAGTTATTGATCTGTTTTAGACCCATCAGTGAGGTTTTCTTTTTAGGGGCACGACATGTTTATGACATGTTTATGAGAGTTTTTCAGTTCTCTTCAGTGAGATATAGATAGTTGAGTGCCATGTACAGGACGGGGGAAACAATAGACAGACTTGTGTATTTTGCAGGATTTTCCCGACAGTAAGAAAAACAACAATATTAACACCAGCAGTATCATGTGGCTCAGTTGTTCCCCTTATCTGTTATACTTTTACTTCTGTCATAGTTTAAAGCTCCGTGGGGATTATGTGTTGATTTATTTAACTAATTCGGGGGGAAAAAGTCTGACGTGTACTTTTATGTCTCTTGACTGATCCATTGTAACAAGTCATTTCAGCCTCATGCTGTTTATAATTTCACATATAGATGCAAGTATTTTAGACGTAGCCTTGAAATCCAGCATTCAAGCTCCTGCCTCTCATCCCTGCAGGCTATAAGCAGACTTACTGGATCCATTTATTTTTTCACTTGGCCTACTTTTTTTCTCTGGTATATTCCTACAGATAGCCCGCTCAGTCTGTCCACACTCGCTGCATGTTATACTAAATCCAGCTCAGAGTTTTACTGTATCTTGTCTGAGTGTATCTTCAGGACAAACTGTCCAGGCTGCAGCGTTCCACCTTTCGGTGCAGATTGTTGGCTGACAGGTCGTGTTCATGTCCTGGTTGTCATAATAAGGGCCGCTGACGGGGACTTCATAACACCAGCGGCTCTTCTACCATCAACACTGCTTATGTAACTCCACTTATGTGGCACCAGGCCCGAGTATTTCCAAACCCAGCTATTGCAGACCCCCTCCATCCAACACACGTAACACACCTCCCAGGAGCTAAGAATAAACCATCCAGCTGGAGGGGACCACAGGATAGGGGAAACTTTTAGAAGAGGCTCCTGCACACCTTTGAATCCAAACAGTTTTTTTTTATGGATATACCCACTTGTCTTTTGAAATGGGGGTGGTTGGTTTTTATGGCTCCTCTCCCCTGCATCGCCCTCTCCAATGTTATGCAATGTTTTCAGGAGAGAGCTGGGGGTTTAAAAATGCAGGGAAATAGCCCATGGAAAAGTTAGATAGAAGCTGTCAACAGAGGATTCCTCCTTCGGGAATTTTATAATACAGATGAATATCATTAAGACTCATTGAAACCAACTGCAGTGATCTTCTAAAGTGAAAGAAACGATGATTATTGGATGTTTTTTTTCCTTTTAATGTTTGGTTGTCTTGATGTGAAGACATAATTCCTGTATGATTGGTTCTTTTATTTCTTTCTGTGAGTCACAGCTTAAGTGCTTGTTTTCACTGGCAGGAAGCGTTGGTTTATTATCCAGAAATTAGACATCACCCATGGCAGTGAAACAGCTCATATTTGTGCTTTTTATCCAATCGTTACTTAATTTTCCACTACATTATCCACTACATTTTCCACTTTTTTTTCCAATTGAAATTGAAGACAGGTTTTGCTGAGTCACATTAAATAATCACACACTATCAGCCTCACATTGTATAAACACTGCGGTTCAGATTTGCCACAGCCGGAGTAAGATTTTTTTTCCAGGAGTTCTTCTGAAGCTGCCAAACGTCTGCTTTTTTTTTTTTTTTTTTGTTGCATTTTACTATTTTGCAATCGTGCCATGCAGCGATGCCAAGCTCTAGTAAATCCTGCGGTTTTTGGAAAATAGGCTGACGTCTCCAAGAGGCTCGGCTGCGTCACACAGCTAAAGCATAAAACCCTGTTTCTTCTTCTGCAAAGTTATCCACAGGAGACCAGTGCTCACGACGCGGGGGTCTGTTTGTTGGAGCTCTAAAATACACAAATATGCAGATGCTGCATCAACCCCCAAACCCACTGACTCACTCACCCTGGCCCATACACAAAACGTAACTCACACACTCTGGTAGACTAAATTTGGGTCATGATGATGTGTTCTTCAGGGATCTAAAGTGAGAATAAACCTCAGTGTCTGCAGCTGTAATTAGCCTCCTTTTAGGTCTTAAACTAAATGAAGTGTTGGAAGTACAAACAGCTTTAGAGGATGATAGTCTCTCTTTTTTTGGGGGGCTTTTTGCCTCTATTAGAACAGACAGCTGAAGAGAGAAAGTAAATGTTGGGATGAGAGAGTGGGGGATGACATGCAGCTAAAGACGCAACCCATGGCCGCTGCCACAAGGACTCTTGCCTCCGTACATGGGGCACAAAACATAACCGCTAGGCTAGTTTTATCAGGATTTATCTTGATTATTTTGGGGTCTTTCATGTATTTTTTTTATAGTCAGAAACGGGGTTGAGAGAGTTGGAGTTGACATGGAGGGTGGGAGTCAAGCCCGGGGTCAAAGCTTCAAAGGTTATCGACTCTGTACATGGGATTTCACCACTGAGCTATACTGATGCTCCTTCAATTTGATTATAAACGCCATTATGACCGTATATGGAAGCCCAGAGTTGGTCGACCATTGTGGCATTGTTTCTAGGGGGATCACTTAATGAATCTAATCTAAAATGTTTTAATTGTTTTGCTTCAAGTCTTTCCTACAAACACCTTACATACCATGACTCAGCTGCAGCTCGTGTTCACATCATAAAACTGATCACTATCCGGCTAAAAGCAAAGCACTCAGTCAGGAGTCGCCTCTGTGTCTTGCTCTTGACACGGGGCCTCTGTGTTAGAATCACTGCTGTGATGTGACAGTTTGACAGGTGACTGACGCACTTTAAAGGAGGGGGGGGGGGGTCTACCTCTGTATGACTTCAGAGTGTGCTGGTCTATAAAACAGTCCGCCTCCTGTGTGGATGAAGCAGCACCTCCTCACTCAAACTCTCTGGAGGGGTAAAGAGGAAGGAGAGAGAAGAGAGTGGTGGTTGAGCTGATTGTAAACACATGGAGACATTTTTCCCAGAATTCCCGCTCAATGCAGGATTCATGCTCCTGAAGTCTCCCAGGAGTTTTCCACCCACCCGCAGGCAAAGTTAAAAAAAAAAAAAAATAAATTGGGCCATTTATCCAAGGAGGAAGCACAAAAATGTCTTTGTTTCGTCCAGCGTGATGCCAGTGTTTTTGAGTTTAACGAGAAACAGTGTTTATTATTGGATGGAGCTGTGGTTTCCAGGCCTCGTTTGTAAGAGAAACAGTGATTTATCAAATTTGGCCCCAGTGCCTGGACACTTTGTTTATTGCTGGTGCTACCTTCTTGCGTAACCACACACACACACACCACACACACACACATACCTACAATCCTGACTAAACCAGAACTCTATAACTCAACTGTCAACACCACTTAGGTCCTGCGGTTGACAAAACAATCTGACAATCTGCTTTTAAACATATAACCTGACCTCCAGCAGTAAATCATGAAACGTCTTTAAGGGCGTCTTATCCATTTAGCTTAAAAAAATGTACTTAGCTTACAAGTTGTTCCTGACTTTTGAAACTAAACAGTCTCATCTCAAGGTCAGAAATAAAGATAGATTAATTGATCCTTACATTTGGAGTGGTGTTACAGCAGCATGTTATCTGTTTGCCCTGTTTTCAAAAGCACAGCACAAATCAGAGATGATGTCAGAGTCCTTTGCCGGAGTCAGATATTAGCTGCGTCCAAGAAAAACGATCATTGTGCGGCAACAAGGGACTTCTTTGTTTACCTTACATGAAAGCGTAACAGGAACATTAGCTGGTACTGATTGTCTAAGATGAGATAAGCTTGACTTTATCTTCCCAGAGGGGTGGATTTGTCCTGGGTAATAATGTTACACACCGTTTAATTAATTAAAAAACAACACGGGGCAAAAAGAATCCATAAATTGGTGCACAGCGTCTTGACACCTTGTTGAATCGGAGCAAATATACCATCCTGCCAAAACCCGAGAGGCTAACACAACACAACGCGACACAGGCGGGATGTGGAGCGGACTGGATGAAGTCAGTGAAACAAAATAGCGTGTCTGATCATCAGGATCATCTATTTCCCTTCGGGGATCAACAAAGTCTCATGTTTCTCTTTTAATGCCATAAAGTGAAGGAGGTTCATCCTCAACTGCTGAATAAAACCGCTGCAGAAGTGCAGAAGTGACTCGTAAAGAAGCCGTGGTTACACTTCAAATTTACCTTATGAGTCACTTATTCGCATGCATATAAAGCTCTTTACTGGATGTTTAAAAGCACGTATTAGTGACAATATTCAACAAATACCAGACTGTGAACTCAGAGGTGCACTACACTAGGTGGTTCAGCTAGCACAGGATACAGAGACGTCCAGTGCAGAGAGAAACATTTTTTAAATACCTACTTGTGGTATGCTGGTAGCCTTCTGGTTGTACGGAAGCTATAATCCTCCAAGCGGGCGGCCCGGGTTCGAATCCCACCTTTGCCTCTCTTTCCTGCATGTCATCCCCCACATGCACTCTATGATTTCTGACTCTATTCACTGTCGTGTCTCTCCGTTAGAGACATAAAAAGCCCCCCCAAAAAAACTGTGCACACCTCGATCAAAACGTTGGATAATGTTTTCTGAGGTTGTGCAATTGTGTCTTTATCTTTTGCACGTGTTATATTGTGATTCATCATCTGCAATATGCTGTATGTTGGTTTGGGGTTAACATTGGTATGTCCCTCTCTGATGACGTGTGAATCGTTGTTGTTTGTTTGCTGTTAGTTTGTATTTATTTGTATTGATTTAAAACACTTTGGAAGCAGCTGAATGTGCAGCACATGGCATTTCATGACATCATTTTGTGTTGGCATGGTGTAATAATGTGATAACTTATAAAAGAGCTGCTTAGTAGTGCAGCATCTAAACAGTGAATATGCTTAAACCTTGGAACACAACAACCGTGTGTGCAGGGGCTGAATAACCTTCTCATGATAAAAACATCAGGATACTTTTGAGCTTTCAAACGTCTTCATATGGTGTTTTTTTCTTTTGTTATTCTTCTTGCAGACCAAAAAGCTGACCAAGGCAGAGCGCCAGCGTTTCAGTGAGGAGGTGGAGATGCTGAAGGGCCTGCAGCATCCCAACATCGTCCGCTTCCACGACTCCTGGAAGTCGACGGTGAAGGGCCACAAGTGCATCCTGCTGGTGACCGAGCTCATGACGTCGGGCACGCTCAAAACGTGAGTCCCTCCTCCACCCGTTTACTCTTCACACTGCGGCCATTTCTCTCTTTTTAAAGCTCCAGGCCTCAGAGGTAGGACATATTCATGGCTTTGTGTTTACATTCCTTAAATGGCGGATATCCTTTTTCCACATGAAACTCTCGATGTCTTCAACTGCAAAGAAGATATTTGTGTAGTGTTTGACAGCTGGCTTTAGCTTTTAAAAATATAAAAGACGCAGAAAAAGGAAGAAGCTCAACTTTCGGTGTAATGTTCTTGGAGAGAATTCTTACTTTACTTCTTCCACTTGGTTGTCAGAAAAAGAGATTCATCGTTTTGTGACACTTTTTCCTCTTCCATTTGTTTAGACTGGTTTTTAACTTGTCCTCATTCTGTTGTAGGTACCTGAAGAGGTTCAAGGAGATGAAGCTGAAGCTGCTGCAGCGCTGGAGTCGTCAGATCCTCAAAGGGCTTCACTTCCTGCACACGCGCACTCCTCCCATCATCCACCGGGACCTCAAGTGCGACAACATCTTCATCACCGGCCCCACCGGCTCCGTCAAGATCGGAGATCTGGGCCTGGCCACGCTCAAAAGTGCCTCTTTTGCTAAAAGTGTCATCGGTAAGTAAGTGCACAATTACACAAATTACATCTTTAAGACAATTAGGCTTTAATTTAAGAGAAGTGTTTGGACCGTTCACACAAACAGCCACACTTTGAGTTCCCGCCTGCGGCCTTAAATGTGTCATCAGTGCTGAAACAACTTTTAATTGAAAGGTAAATTGTCCTTCTCGTTAAGTAAAGCACACACAGGGAGTGTCAGCCGCAGTAAAAAGACTTGTTGTTACTTGATTCAGGTTCAAAGCTACACTTCTCTTATAATGACTTTAACTCCCAGGCTCAAATCAAACACTGTGAGTGTGTTTGATTAACCCATGCGACACCTGTCATGCTGATTGATGTGGAGATAATAAGATTTTAAGCTGCCCTGCTTCACTCTTTTCTTCTGTTGTGTGGCTCACAGTTCATTTAAAATCCTGAACAGCACCTAAAAGAAGGTTCATTCATATAAAATGTTATGCAATGATGCTGTTTAAGGTGTGTTGTTTGTGTTACAAGAAGACGTCTCTTTTTTTTAACTGTCAGTATTTTTGACATTAGCAGCTGAGGGTTAAGGTTCTTGCCTGAAGTGACCAGTTTATAGAGAGTAAAGAACAGATGCTGCAGCACACGTCTTTTAGCTCATCGTTGTGTTTTAACATCTCACAACTTATTATTATTTTTATTTTTTTTGTACAGTTTTCAGAAGCAGCAGGCGGCTAATTTAACCTGAAAATATTTTTTTTTAAATAAAACACACACAGTGCTGTAAGTGGACAGCACCACAGCAAACAGAAAAACAGGAAGCTGGCGAGGGAACATACTGAATCTTAGCTGCTTAAGATTCAGTAAGCCCCAGTCCCCTACTGGGGCGGCAGTAGCTCAGTCTGTAGGGACTTGGGTCGGGAACAGGAGGGTCACCAGATCAAGTCCAGACATCTGGATGTCAGTCTGGTAGCTCAAGGGGTGCTTGTTCACTTCCTGAGCACTGCCGAGGTTCCCCTGAGTAAGGCCCCCCCCCCCCAGCTCAGGAGCGCCCAAAGTCAAGAGTCTTATCCAACAATACACATAATAAAAACATATACATGTCATTTTTACCTTTTATGTTATGTTAGTCTTTCTGCATACCACATTTTTCCTCCATTTAAAAAAAGAGTTGACTCAAAACCTAAACTGGACATTTCAGTCGTTTTTTTAAAAAGTTGACCATTATCTCTGCCCGTCTGACAGGAACTCCAGAGTTCATGGCCCCGGAGATGTACGAGGAGAAGTACGACGAGGCGGTGGACGTCTACGCCTTTGGAATGTGCATCCTGGAGATGGCCACCTCTGAGTACCCGTACTCCGAGTGCCAAAACGCCGCCCAGATCTACCGCAAAGTCACCAGCGTGAGTACAGAAAAGGGAAGGGAGGAGGACCCCGTATTTAATGTAATAGCTCACATGTGTTCGCTTTCTTCTTTGTGTGCACTGGAATTAAGAGCAGAGGAACCAGGATATCTTGTATAAACGGTTTGGATATCCTGAATCTTTGGAGACTTTGTCTATTAAAGGCTCAGTTTGGTCCATTAAAAGCTCAAGGTGAAGAACTGAACCACAACCTTTCTGCTTTCTTAGCTTCAGCGTGCAATCATGACGCACATGTTTGAATGATTACCAGTGTACTTACCATGTCAAGATCCTGATACTGGTAACGTTTACAGCAATACTCCCCTCTCTTTAGAACAGTGCTCTTTTGGAAAACTTGAGTAACCCATGGCTAATCTTGTGTTTAAACTGCTTTTGAAATATATACAGTCAAGGATGTCCTGTGGAAATACTGCAAAGAACATGTACTTCTCTTTTAATTGAAGAATTCTTTTGAAAGAAGAATAGAGCTTTATGTCAGAGACATAGATGCTGGATTCATACACACACAGTTTTTATTCAGAAAAGTCATGTAACACTTCCAAGAATGAAAGACCAGAAGCAGTGAGGTTTTTATTTAATTTTAATGACCGCACCACAGCATTACAGCAGTGGCTTTTTAAGCGTCTTTATTTCAAGCTGCTGCAAGGTGCCAAGTCCAACGATGACGCCACGGTCGGCCGGAGAAAGCGATGCTAGAAATTATATGTTTTGGAAAAATGTGAACGTCTCAGTCTGCAGCTCCACAAAGACGCCGTTTCTCTCTCTCTCGCCTCTCCGAATGCAAAGCAAACAGAGTCGGACGGCGGCTGGAAAAGCGAGGAGGGCGACAATGCCAACCGGTCGGGGTTGGAGTCTGGCTCCTCCACAAGACAAGAGAACATACAAAATGTTCCATGTGCAGTCGGAGAACTTACCCATGATGCAACAGATTGTTATTAAAGTCGTGTTAGCCGTGCCTTTTTAGGATTTGTTTATGTTTTAAGTTTACGTGCAGCACAAGACGGCGCCCGATCATAAACTAAACTTTATGTAACATTTCTCCTACATGACTGACTCCTGTGTGGAGTCAGCTGCTGTTTCAGGTGCCTTGAGTGAGAAACATAGCTCGACATGCGGAGGCTGTGACACCTACAAATGTTGGTCTTAGAAACATTTCCACCTAGGAGGTCAAAACAGACTTTTCTTTTCCTTTTTTATGGAGTTCATTTTACAAGCCAGTAAGTAGACAGATACATAAATTAAAATGCTCTCTCACCTAAAACATTTTACCAATATGTGAAAGTTAAGCTTCTAATTCTGAAATCATTTGCATAAATATGAAGCATTGACCTCTTTTCTCCTTCCTCTCATAAGATTTTGACCCTTGGCTGCAGAGACTACCTCATGTTGAGCTCATGCGCTGACTAACAATGATGTTCTTACTTCATTAAAGCTTAGTTTTTAAAATACCCTCAAAAATGGCTATTCAATGTCCTAAGAGCTCAATTCATATCGCTTGTTTTGCTTGATCGACAATAAAAATCCCAGCGATTTCAGATTATTTTAATAGAAGCATCTTAAATAAATAAATGTTAGAATTTTAAGGGCTGGAACAAGTGCATTTTGGGATTTTTTTTTTTGCTGTAAAAATGATTTAAAAACAGCTTTTCAATACGTGACTATAACTGTACTTCTGTATTCAAGGACTTTGTGGTGTTTAACATTCCTCAAACCTTTGAAACACACTCGGGGGCAGACACCCCAGTGTGTCTCATTAAGATCCCATTGTTCCCAAAGAAAATGAGCTCATATGAAAAAGTCAACACGCAGGGTTTTCTGTTTGATGTACTTCCATTAGTGTGCTTTTGGCACTTAATATAAAATGTAAAAGTGTAGCAAGAAATTCCAAAACCTCCAGTCCAATCTGCAGCCTTGACCTCTTTTCTGCGTCTTTATTTCTTTTTTTGTAACCAGGCTGCAGGGACTTACTCTGCTCATCTCATGCATACATTTTATAAATGAATGAATGTATGCTTTGTTTTTTAAGATACCAGAAAATGGTAATGAAAGGTCCTTGGAGCCCCAATCTGCATATTCACACCTCTTGTTCTGCTCAAAAACACAAAGATTTTCAGATAATTATTCTTATACAAGCCTAAAAAATAACACATTTTGGAGTTTTAGAGGCTGGAACACGTGCATGTTGGGCTTTCTTGCTTTAAAAAATGACTGGAAAACACATTCTTTCTTTGTTAACATATCTGTACTGAGGGGACTTTTCAGTGTTTAACCTCACTGAATCTTTTGCAACACAAAATAATCAAAATAATCACCCAACGACGTCTCATTAGGGTTAGCCCAAAGTTAATAAACCAAAAAACATGATGCAGAAGTTGAACGTGCAGCGATGTCCTTTCTGTGTATTTCCATTGATTCACTTTTGGCTTTTTAGTATATTTCCCCAAGTCAACAAAAAACACAATAAAATGTACTCGTCGGGAAGAAAAGCATCCATTCAACAAAGTGTCAAAAGTGCACGCTGTTGCTTTCACATCTTTAAGTCAGTTAAAATGTGCAACACTGAACAAAGTCAAACGGACAAAAGCTTATCTCTCCAGATTTGATCTCGACCTCGGTGACTGCAGGAAAAGAGCCCAGTAACAAATTAGATTTGGATTTAGGGAAACTTGATTTACTCTGAAGGTGGCTGCGAGGACACTGAAGTGAAGTGCCTCATCAAAGAAACATCTGTGCTCCTCCTCAGAGCCTCTTAAACACATCACAAAGATAACAGCCTTTCACTGATTGCACCGCCAGAGCCTTTTTTCGGCGGCTCCTAAATTGGCAATTTCCCTCAGCAGAAGATAGTTATTCTGTGTAATTATATATGTAACACTCGGGACAGGATAACCTCTCTGTTGTCCTTTTGTTTGAAACGGAAAGAAACAAAATGTGGCCAAAACAACAAAAAAAAGACCGCATTCACTTTGTGACTTGTCAGCCTTTTAAATGTGATAACGAAGTGTCGCTCTTCTTATGCATCACATTATTTAGTCTTTCTCGCTCAACATCATCTGGTTTGCTCGGGTATCTGTAAAGCCAAACAATCTTTGTGACCTTGCTTCTTTTGCTTTCTTATCAGTGTTTTTACAGGCATGGGAGCTCTACTGTAATCTGTGTGCATTCTCATGATAGCATTTTAGAAAAAAGAAATAAAAAGAAGAGGAAAAAGCTCTCTTACTTCTCATGAGCGAGCAGCCAGAGCATTCTCAACTCTGCGCAGAAGCTTCAGCTGTCAGGAGTTTGAAGGATTGACGTGTTGTTGTTTTTTGTCCACGGTTATGTGAGCGTTTGTTTTTTTTTTTGTTCCCTGGTTGTGTTGACACGATCACAGAGCAGAATGTCATGCCGGCTGACGGCAGACGTCACAACCGCGGAGGAGTATGTGAACATGCAGAGCGGCTGGGAGCGGCTGCTTGAATCCTCCCCTCTCTCTGGCACTTGTTGCTGCAGTGTAAAAGCTTTATAGATAAAGTCAATATGTGCGTTTTGTTTTTCCACAGGGAATCAAACCCGACAGCTTCTACAAAGTCAAAGTCCCCGAGCTGAAGGAGATCATTGAGGGCTGCATCCGTATGAACAATGATGAAAGGTGAACACAAACACTGTCATCAACAACAATAAGAACACAAACTCCTTAACACATTCACATATTGATCCTGTAAAGTGCATTACTCCTTTTTCCCCTTTTTGTGCTTTTTCACAAACAATGGCCGTAGAAATTCTGTCTTTTTTTGTAGATTTTTAATGTAGAAGAAACAAATGTTTTTTTAGCATATGCTCTGTTTTTCACACTCCTCAAGGCCTAAACAGAGAGTCTCCAGGTTTTGCATTGAGAGACGTCTGTTTTCCTGTTCTTTTCTACTGTTTCTCAGGCACCCTGGATGTCTCACAAGAACACAGGTTTTAAAACAGCTAAGGTTTTTGCTGAAGCATAAATATGATCTGACGTAAGCCGTACTTGCTTTCAACAACATATTCCATTTTGTTTGCACAATCAGAGCGCTGGTATAAACTCTAGACCTTTATTTACTGGGTTAGGGGGAAGGGTAATTTAATTCATGTTCGGACCAAAAAAGAGCTTCACAAACAATTGTTTTGATGAGGTTGTACTGATGTGATTTTGCATCACATGCTGTTGTAGGTGTGCCTGTAAACATGACAAGAAGATCAACTTAACATGATAAAAAGCACATGTCAGTCCTGCTGTTTTTTGTTCTGTAGTTTTATTGTTTGTAAGCATAATCAGGACCTTCAGCAGGATTCAATTATGTGTCTCAGACTTGAGGTAATCTGTGTCATAAGTTGTGAATGAATACAAACTCAAAGTGCTTTGCAGAAATCAAAAACAAACATTAAATCATATTCAAAATGTTTCCTGAGTGTCTAAAGCGGATAAGTGATTTTCCTCCTGCAGGTACACCATCCAGGACCTCCTGGATCACCCCTTCTTCCAGGAGAACAACGGCGTGCACGTGGAGCTGGCAGAGGAGGACGACACGGTGAAGTCGGGCCTGAAGCTGTGGCTGCGCATGGACGACACCAAAAAGCTCCACGGGAAGTACAAGGACAACAACGCCATCGAGTTCCTGTTCGAGCTGTACAAAGACGTGCCCGAGGAGGTGTCTCAGGAGATGGTAGGCCGACACATGACGGACAGCGTGACTGCTTTCACATTATGCATTACTGTATGTGTTCCAGAGAAGTTCAGACAGTGTGCCCCTGAACTCCTCCTGAGTCACAGCAGGAAGTTTGACCTGTCGGAGGCGAGGGAGGGGAGGCAAGACATGACATAAAAATGACCCTGTGGAAATCCAAGGTGGCAGACTTAAGCTACAGACTCTGACACAGTATTGACAAATTTACAATACCAACGAATGACTGGAGAAAAATATGCTCATAGAGTATGATACAGCTTCATTAGGTGCACAGAGATCACAGCAGTCACTCAGCGGTCACTCGATATAAACGGTGCTAATTGCTGCGTTTCACACATCGGCTCCCCCTGACTTCTTGCGGAAATTTTTATTAAGGAACGGCAGATAAAAAAGTCAGGGTAAAGTCAGGGTGAAATATTTGTCTGTATGTGTTCACAAATGCAGCTCACCATGAAAGATATCTGGAAAATGTTCAGGAGATTTGTGTGAAAACGGCTGTTTTAGCAGCCTGTAGTGAGGAAATCAAGAGCTCGAGGTGACATCAGCCAGTCCGGCATTGTTCTCTGTGTCATGATCTTGATTAATGATGATTGCTTTTTATGGGTTTCCCGGGGGAAAGCCTGACTGGATATGGAGTTGACACCAACGCTCTTAGTGTGGCACCTTAATTCCTCCTGAAACAAAAGTCTCCTTTGAAGGAAAGGGAACAAGGTCTGATGAAAGATGGCACTTTATTTAGCTATTAAATAAGGAAGACTGACATTATTAGTGATAAACACAAATCTCTCTTTGTTATGTGTCTTTTGACCCTTGACCCCAGATGGTGAACGCAGCCTCGCTAATGCACCGAGCATCACTATGCATCGTTTTACTGCTTTGAGAGTTGGAAGAGAACGCCTTGCCGGAGTGTGTCAAGGGCACGGCTCAACATTTAATCATCAGCCGTTGGAAATGTGAGAGCGTGTCTCAGGAAGCGGCATGGGTCACGTCTTTAATAATATAATGGCCCTCTTGCTTGTTACGAAACAGGCCCTGGTGTCCTCCGCAGAGGTCACTTTTAATGAAAATGAATGCCACAATTCCTTACTTGTTTATCTCTTTGTGGTAGTTTTCATCAAGATCAAATTCGGTATCAGCGGGGGGACATCAAGTCCTGCCAGTCTGCTGTAATCTGACTACGTGTTGACAGGCAGCCTGGGACTGAGTGACCCACTTTTCTGTACTGGGTGTCACTAGAGGCTGAAGAATGCATTCCATATTCTTTAGTTATCAAATCCTGTGTTTGCATTAAAGCTTTGTTATATCAGAGGGTTGCTTATGTCACAGCGTGCACGAGCAGGTTAAGCGAGTGCGACAGACCTGCGTCGATTGTCTGCATGTTCCACATCCTGGAGCGGGACGTGTTTATGTTGTGCCCTGACATTTTCTGTGTCTCGTTATACAGGTGGTGCTCGGGTTTGTGTGCGAGGCAGACTTCAAGCTCGTGGCCAAGGCCATACGGGACAGGGTGACGGCCATCAAGAGGCAGAGGGAGAAGCTGAGGCGGCAGGCGGAGGAGAGGAAGAAGAAGCAGGAGCAGGAAGCCCTGGAAGAGGAACTAGAGCTTCAGGCGCCGTCGGCTAAAGTCGGTGATGTTTCCGCGGCGGGGTCTCCCGTCCCGGCTTTCACGCCTCCGACGCCCCTCCTGTCCCCCGTCACCAGCTCTGTGGACTCTGGGGTCAGCTCCAACTACCCCGCGGAGCCAGAGGAGCCCGAGGCGGACCAGCACTTCCACATCCGCCACAACAGCTTGTCCTCTGCTAACTGTGAGCCACCAAATGTAACACCACACAACATGAAGAGCTGAAGGTCGTTCCCCTCGTCTCCAGTGTTCATAGTTTTAATATAAAGTTAAATATCTGAAACCTTAAGGCCTATTAAACCCCTTTAAACCACTTGGATAATATGAACAAAACAGTAGCATCAATTACCGTAAAATAATCTTCAAATTTAGATTGTAAACTTAAAGCTTCTGTGAGGATCTTTTGGTTTGTGTCGATTTTGGCGCCCCCTGTGGAGAGAGCGGTTTTGTCTTATTTCTTGGCTGATCTCGTCCCGTACAGTTGTCAGTCAGTTGCGTTTCCTGATGAAGAATCTCATCCAGCTTTGTTTTTCTTGAAATATTAATCTCAGCTTTTGAAACCTCCGGGCTGAATTTTGTTTCTGTTTTTGTTTTTCGACATCTCATCATAAATTCTGGAGGAAAAAAAATCTGTATCTGTCCAATTTAACCGCACAGGAAACTGTTCAGACTTCAGAGCACATGGGAGGCTTACAGCGAAATGTGAAACTGTAGATAACTGAATTATTCAGCCCGCGTAAGTCTCATGGTGTGTAAAGCTTTACATAATGAACATCTCAACATGTAAAAGAACAGCCTTATAAATTCATTTTTTAGTGGTCTTTGCTCATAATTCAGCCTCTCCTGTGTCTCCAGAGCAATGCTAACCCACAGCTTTTATTGAGTCTGTGTTTGTGTGTGTGGTGGCTCTCAGTTTGGGGTCTTTAAATGTGTGTGTGTGTGTGTGTGTGTGTGCAGTACTGTTTGTGTCAGTCATTGGGGCCTCAGTCGGTCACATGCTTATAGTTTTCTATCCTTTGTTTAAACAGCTGACTGCGAGACAGACGGCTATCAGAGCTCCTCTGGGCTTCAGGATCCGCTGGAGGCCGGCAGCTTCAACTCGCCCGTGACCCCTCCCACCAAGCACCACGACCCCCCCGCTGCTAACTGCCTCCCCATCCCGGCCCTCCGCTTTCCCTCGGTGAGTGGCCTTGATAACGAGGAGCTTGTTATCAAAGTGCAGAGCGCAGGGAGAGGCGGGAAGGGACGAGAGAACGACTTTACGAGACCTGCTGCATTAACGTCACTCGCTCTAATACACAGTTAGCAGAGAGAGAGAGTTATGCAAACAATGTATAGGAACAGCTGCTATCATTGGCTAATTAGCACTCCAAACAAAAAAGATCAAACACATGTTCCTGCTGTCACTCACATGATGACTGGTAACAAGATATCTAAAATAAGAGAAGACCTTAAAAATGCATTTTAGTGGGATGCCATTTAGCCTAGCGGTTATGTTGCGCTCCCCATGTACAGACTACCGCCTCTTCGTATCAGCAGCCACGGGTTCAAATCCGACCTTTGCCCTTTGCTCCATGTCAACCCCCACTCTCTCCTCCAAACACTTCCTGTCTCTCTTCAGCTGTCCTGTTTAATGAAGGCAAAAAGGCCCAAAAAATAATGTCTAAAAGAATGCTTTTTAGATGGAAGAAACATGTTCAACCACTGCTGAGATATAAATATCTAAAGTCAATAATCCCTGCAACTTTGACAAGCATGTGTTATAAAAGATGTAGAGCATCTGTTTGACGTAAGCTGTTAATGAGGGATTTCCCCGTATTGACTTTAGGAGACAGACATTGACTTTAGAATTTGGTAAAAAACATTGTTAAGATCTTTAAAACGTGTTCTTTCTTTGCTTTCTCTGCTTTATTTGTCAGGGACAGATTCAGTAAACATGGAGAACTGAACAACAATTTTACAATGCACCGCACCGCAGCATTTAAAGCTAATGCTAATTTCCCATGTCTGTCCATGAATAGGCCTTCATTATATAATACATCTATAATACATGTCCAATAAAAAAAATATATGGAGCGATTTATTAACTGACGTAAGAAGATCACAATAGTCAATACAGTTGACCGAGACGGGGATGGGAATATTGGCGCCGTAATTCGTGGCAGTCTTTAAAATACTTGTGAAGACATTTCACAAAAAAAAAAAAAAAAAAATGTCAACTGAAGCAAATCGGCAGATCGAGGGTTTTCATGGTTTATGCAAAAGTAAAGCTGCAGTAAGAAAAAAAAAAAACAGAATATTTTGTGTGGATGATATCAGGGACTTTTTCGCGTGTGTAAATCATTATGGTGGAAATGTTTCCTGGCTGCTATCTTTTACTGAGGACTTTAAAAGCAATCAATGGAAGTCTTTATACACGTTGACATTACCGTATCCTCCCTTCTTTTATTCATAGAGTATTGCTGTTTCCAGCAACATTGAACGTGGCAACTCAGGGCCCCAGAGCGGCTTCAACTCCCCCGTGGAAAGGTAATGATCTTCAGCCCTCCTTTTCTCCTCACTCTGTTCTTTTTTTGTTTTGTTTTGTTTTTCACACCCAAGGAACAAAGACGGTCAATAGTCCTGTCTTTATTTTAAGTGGGAGAACTGAAAATCAATGTTGATCCGGTAGACGCGTCAGGTCTTCCCTCTCTAACTCCTCCCCCCTCTTCCTCCTCTCACATCTGTGTGGGTCTGTCACAACAAGCCGGAGGCGATCGACAGGCCTCGTCTGTGTTTTTCATTGCAGGGAAACAGAATGGACCCCCTCGCAGGTTTCTTTCTGTGACGACGGGGTCTCTCATGTTGTGTTGGAGGCCCTGTTTTCCATGTTGTCTGTGTTGGTGGGATTTCGGGGGGGGAACCGATTTATCCCTCGGGTGTCAGAGCTGCAAGTGGACGATAGAAATAGTTTGCCTGTGTCATAATAACAGGCTCGTTATCTGGGCTCACTTATGTTTGTTAAATGTATTTTGTTGCCTTATCTTTAAATTGAAAGCATGTTTTCTATTGGGTGACAGGCAGATGTAGTCTGTAATAGTTTGTAGGGACTTGGGTTTGGAACCGGGGGGGGGTCGCGTTTCAAGTCCTGGTGCGGATCAAGTCTGGAAACTGGTCTGGTCGCTTGAGAGGTGCCAGATCACTTCCTGAGCACTGGCAAGGTTCCCCCTGAGTTAGGAACCGAGCCCCTCCACCACCAGCTCAGGAGCGCCCACTGTGTGCAGCCCCCTCACTCTGACATCTCCCCTTCACTGCATGTCCATAAGATCCTGTTTGTGCATGTGTGTGTATTTCAGCTTGTGTGTGTGTGTGTGTGTGTGTGTGTGTGTGTGCAGCATGTTCAACAACTGAATCTCCTCTTGCAGGATTGATAAAGTTTATCTTCTTCTTAAGTAGGATTCACTCTACATTATTCAAACAATGATCCTGGTTGCGCAATGTTTCATCAAAGAGAGTGTTGGATTACTAATGAGCAGATATTTCGTTGCTCAACATGTGCTTCACTTGCGAAACAAACATGAATGTTTCGTCCGACTTATTAGTCTCATTTCCATGTTCGCTGTGTTTAACGACCTGAAACAATCTTTACTTTAAACTGAAGTAACCCCGGGAGTTTGAGTTTTTCTAAATCGAGACAGGCGTTCCCGCTGTCCGGTCTTCCTGTAAATGCGGCCTGTAAATGTTTTGCAGCCTGTGGACGGAGGAGGGGGGGGGGGGGGGGGGGGTCTGTGACCACAGGCTCCCGGGAGACGCAATTAGCCCGAACCAAAGCTTTTTATAAAACATGCTGAATGTTTCTCCGCTTCTCAGAAACCTAAAACCCGATCATTGTATAAATACAAGACATCACATGGATCACCAGCCTCGTATATAGACAGGCCTCTTTGAACTGTATTGTTTAACTTAGCTGTGAGACATGCCGCTTTGACACTTCAGAGTGATGTTTATTATCTTTATTAATGTCTGCGTTGTGTGGAAAATCAGCCATCATTGATTATTTTTGATCCCTTCCATGAGTCTGTTGAACGACTCGCTTTGAAAAAATGTTTGATGGGTTTTTTAGGCCGTCTTTTTTCTGACCACAGGCATGTTTTGTTTTCTTTTTGCAGCTACGCCTCCGATGTGACTTCGAGTTTGAGCGACGGCTACGAGGGCCTATCGGAGAAGAGCGAGAAAACAGCTGCCAGACGAACAGCTGCCAAGCTGTTCAGGAGGAGGGCTCGGTCGAGGCTCCGCATCACAGGGGTAAAATAAATCAAAACGTTTTTTTTTTTTTTGCGTCGTTGCATCACTGCAAGCTGATTCGAGCACATCATAAACAAATAAATCAGAAAACAGCTGGGTTCAGTGAAATGATTGATTTCATGGTCATCTTAGTTATGATTGAGTTATAAAGCCTCGCCCTGATTACACAACGCTATCCGTATCTGTGCTGTCCTTTTCCCGCCCGGTAACCACAGCTCATTTCTCATCTGATCTGGACACTCTGAGGTCTTTCGGTGCAGTTTGTTTGCACTGGAGACCGAGACAAACAGATCATGCATAACCACATGTGACGCAAACACTGCATTTGTATCATGACACAGAAAAAGACAGTAGACTCACACAGCTTTATGTTTGGACAACCTGCATTGTCCGTCCTGTGTTTGACTTGTGGTTCAGAAGGTAAACAAACACTTGTCACCGCTCCTCATTGATCCCTGTCCCTCTCTGCAGCTCTCTGATAAAGTGGACCGCGTGGTGGAGTGTCAGCTGCAGACACACAACGACAAGATGGTGACCTTCAAGTTTGACCTGGACGGTGATAACCCTGAAGACATCGCTGCTGTCATGGTGAGTCATTAGTGGTACAAAGACACTGTCCTGACAATGATCAACAGGTACAACATTAAAGTGTGGACATAAAACACTTCCATCGGGGCATCTGTTGTTCTTACAAAGGTATTTACTTTAGCTCTGAGTGGGATTGAGTTTCTGTGAAAATTAGATAAGGACCAAGTAAACATTGACCAGATCTCGGTTTAAGCTTCTTATCTAGAAGGATTAAAAAAATGTTAAACTGTGAAGGAAGTGCTGATAGAGTCAGGAAGTTATATTCACATTTTATTATGTAGTACAAATCATCTGTAGGGTACAGCAACAGAACTAAAAGTGAACATGGAGAACACAGACCTTCACCAAGGCCAATAGTCGCCTCTTCCATAATTTGCAAATTGGCAAGTTCAGCCACAATATTACTATCCACTGTTATTGCTGTAATTTGAGAGGCCCAGTTCAAACTTTTAGGGGTTCTTCCTCATCCCATGCTTTACATTTCCACCAAGTTTCATCCAATTTGGTCCACTTGTCGTTGAGCTATCCTGCAGACAAACAGTCAAACAAACTGCAAGACAAAGCCTTAACCTCCCTGGTGAAGGTAAAAGAAATGGTTGAGTTGGCAGAAGTTTACACCCCTGATAGGGCCATGCAACAATTATTTAGATTACCCTCTCATCTGGCCAAATGGCTCTCAACAACAAGGAGCACCACAATCCTTTAGTGAAATACTTCAGGATCAAAATCTGGATTAATGCAACAAAACAAGTTCATGGAGAAAGTCACACTAGCTGCATCATTATGTCCAATTGTTGTATGGACACAAAGGGGACAACAGTTGTTACTTTAACCATTAACCAACAACATACAATCTGGTCTCCAAGATTTAAAATAAGCCTTTGTAACCTTGGCTAGACATTATTACAAGGAGAGAAAAACCACCAAGTCCGGAAACTGATGGTCAGTACACAATAATGTCTATTAAACATTTAACATTTTTTCTAAACTGTTGTAAAAAAAAAAGTACACAGTTTCCTAATGTTAGCCAGCAAGAGTTACAAGAGCTACGGGTCATACCACACTAACTGAGTGTAAATGGGTTTTGTATTCATATTAATGCTTTTAATTTGAAGGAGCAAGCATATTTCTTAAAATGTGTTTTTAATTTCGCTGAAGATGAGAGGGAAGACGTCCTGAATGAAACGGTGTCGACTAAATTTCGACATGTTATTTGGTATTCTCTTAATGGTGTGACCCCCACAGATTGGTGCATGGTTACATGTTCATGCCCTGCAGCCAAACAGAAGACACTTCATTCAGTCTTTAAAGATAAAAAAAACATGTCACAGAGATTTAAGACACATGTTCATGCACAAAAACATCTCTACTTTTTCCTTTTGATGGATTTGTGTAAATATAATGAACATGGAGTTTGGGGTTAAGAGCTACTTCTTTAATGTATATAATACTGATATGAGGAATACAATGATTTTCTGAAGTCACCCAGGGGTAAACAATGTAACTAATCAGTCCTCTTTAGAGACTGGACCTTCTTGCACATTGAAGGATTTGTTCAGAAATTATAAAATGATCTCATCCTGTCAGCTGATAAGATAGCTCTATCTGAGCGCAGCGTCCTCATGACTCAGACTTCTCCCAGTTAGCAGCATCCTAAATCTGGATGATAATATATCTAACTTTTAGAGAAGTGAGTGACACAGGAAGTCAGCCTATCCTCCTCTTTATTAAAACACAGAGGTGGTGCACATACATGAGCCTGTTTGATGAGTCAGCGTGTGCACTTGAGTGTTCTGTTTTCCGTCTCCTCAAGCACAGTGGGCTTTTGTTTACACTGTATGTCCAAAGCGTGGGGCACATGGCATCTAAACAGCCCCCCCCCCCCGGTTCTCAGAACGAGGTTGAAAATGTGCTGAATTATGCCACGCTGAATGGAAACAGTCGGTGCGCCACAAGCCACAATTACCAACAACATTTAGAACAGGCATGAAAATGCAAAACTCACAAGCTCCTCCTGTAAACGTCTGTACTGTGGATTTAAAAGACAAGATTTATGTTCTTCTTCTAAGAATAAGCGTTAGCTGAGGAGGGCTGGGTGTTTGTTTCGGTCGTCGGTTAGGTTTCATAGATGGGCACACCAGTTGAAAACAAGTACTGCATGTCAAGTACTCTTCAGAACAGCAACAAATCAATCTAGGCCACAGTCCTCGTCACACTGCTTTAAGGTTCCTGACACAGTTTGGTGCATGTCATCCCCTTCACTCTCTCTCTTTCCACACATTTCCAGTCTGTCTTCAACTGGCCTATAAAATAAAGGAAAAAAGCCCCCACCCATAGTATGTGAAATACTGTACTTTTGTTTCTCTCCACTTGATCAATTCAGTTACTATAGTTACTATGATGCATGCAGATACAGATTTTAGAATCAGGATACAGCTCGAGTATGTGGTCACAAACAAGGGAGTGACTCTGGTCTAACATTAATCTCAACGTCCAGACTCACAGATTGTCATACCGCATTGAAAACAAGGACGAGTTAGAGAAAGGTAGCACAGACACTTACACACTCAAACCAAAAACTATTACATACTGTACAGGCCTATGGATACCAATATGTATTAACCATTTATGATTTGCAAAACACAACAACAACACTCCAAGAAAGGAGACAAGAGTGCAATGTAGCGGGCAATGCAAGTAAGATAAATAATGTTAGGCATCAGGTTGTTCCATATACAAGAGGTGCAGTAGATGGTTTAGTATTTGCAGTTTTTATTGAGGATGTGGATTAGCATGAATTCAAACAATGACCATGAATAAAAAAACAAAGAAAAGCTGAGGAACATTGAGGTGTTTTTTGATTTTGCAGATATTCAAACCCAATCTAACCAATTGGGCCTCATTTGGTCAAAAGATGGAAAAGTAAGAGGTTTTGTTAATACGGTTCATCCACGGTGGGAGTACTCGGGGCAAATTTGTGGTGGGTTATCAAATAGCTGTGGAGAAAGTTCTCTTAAAAAAAACAAATGTCAACCAAAGCAAATTGCAATGTTAAGCGATTTCATGGTTTATACAATCTGAGTCATCTAATAATTCATCAAATTCTCCTCAAGGGGAGCATTTTTCTGCTTTACTACACACAATTTTTACACTTTCTTTTAAAACGATGTCTAAAGTCATGGTCTGTCATTTCACCAATTTCATCATTGTCCTTTTTTTCGTCTCCCAAGGTGCACAATGAGTTCATCCTGCCGTCAGAGAAGGAGGGCTTCATCCATCGCATGGGCGACATCATCAAACGGGCCGAGTCTCTGATGGCCAATGAGCAGCTGGTCCACCCAGGCGGGCAACGATATCCCCAGCCCGCTTTCCACAACGGGGTGAACTCTTTGTCTTCTTCGCAGGTCAGTAAAATTACCTGCGTCTCTTCTGGTCATCCACATCTCAGCGGTGTTAGCTGAGAACAAAGGATGTACCTTAGATGTTCCTGTCTGATCATCATAAATTACACCAGCTATAGTGTGTCTCTTATCTAAGCCAGGACTATAAATCTGGTGGAAATGGGAAGCTGTACAGTCGAGCTTCCTCCACTGGAAATAAAAAAAACCTCAGTGGAGTGCTTTCCACGCTGTCCACATCCCTCAGGAGACTCGCCCTGAAAGACAGAAGGTTAAGTGTTCCTGTGCCACCTGAGGTAGTGCTTTCACTTAGAACATTATGTTACTAAAAGCACTAATGTCATAAAGTCCCTGTGATTTGTGGAAACATACTCTCATATGCCTCCTTTTTTTTTTAATTACATATATTTGTTCCCTCAAATGCTTTCCAGTCCTTAACAACACCATAATGAACTTTCCAGTGTCTGTGCCCACAATGAACGGATAAAAACGATTGATTGGATTCATGACGCCGTTTTTCTGAATAAAGATTCTGTGAAACTGTTAAGTGAAGTCTTCCAGGAGGTGGTGCCACATTGTACAAGATATGAGCTAATGCCTCGTCAGACGCAGTTTAAGAGAAAGAAGTGTCTGTTCTCTGCCGGTACATGTTCCATTTATAGAACGCACAGACAAAATCTCCTTGTTCTCGCCAGTTAGAAGATAAAAGATGCTCAGAAATGATTGAGAAAAAAAAACAAATGGATGAATAAACCTCTACCTTGGTCAGCGTCTTTCCAAAAACCACAAATCAACCACAATTCTCTCCTGGCTTCACTCCAGCACCTGATGAAAGCGAGTCAGGCATCAACTCCCACAGAACCATTATGGCTGCTCTTCCCAGCACTGCACAGACCAAGCCAGTTAAGCTTGCAGATGAAAACCCACAAGAGTCTCGTCTGTTTATCATTACTTTCTGACTGATATCCCTCGGAGGTTGGGTACTTCTCTGAGAGTTATTTGGAAAGAGACAGAGTGTATGATTATAGCTTGAGTCCCTGGAAAGAGATGCTCGTCTAGCTGATGCTTTGGACTTTACCCATCGCTTATAAACAGTCGAGCTAATATGTAGCCATGCTTGCTGTAAAGCTGTAATTAGATAGATGCTCTAAATCCCAACGGCAACCAATAAATAAAAGTAAAAGTGTTTGGGACTGAAGCCGGGCACCCCATCCAAACACTCTATTGGAAATTAATTTGAAAGAGGGGTGAAATATCTTCTCTGCCTAGCTGCACACACACACTGTACTCATCATGGGTGAGCCAAGCTAAAGCTAGCAGGCTAGTCCTTCAAGAACAGCAAAGATAGTTTGTCAGATGCGTTTGGCGAGAACAATGTGGTTTGGAGGGAGTGACAGAAGTAGCAACTTAAAAAAAATCTAGCACCAGGCCTGCTTCAGTTTCTTCAACGTTGTCTACCTCAGCTTTTCTTTGGCTTGTTGGCATTTTTACACAACACAGATGTGCCAAACTGTTGAGAAAATGTTGAGCTGTTTTGCAGGACGATTGAACATTTTGCCCTGCTGGTAGCACTAGAGTAAAGTCAGGGTATTACAAGAGTCATTAGGATTTTTTATTTCATAATTTGATGTAAACGAAGCACAAAGATGGATTTGGCTGGGGTCAACAACAATCCCATTTTACATCCATAGTCTCGTCAGTTAAATGAAACATTTGAAACACATTCCTGTTGAAAATGCAAAGATATGAAAACAGTGCACATGAGTAGAATAAGACAAAATATGTGTTTTCTGTAAATACGATAATAAAGAGTAAGATGTACCCTGTTTTATTTGGTGCATCCTCTTGGGACCATGAATGTCAGTAAAATGTTTTAACTGCAATCTCTTTAAAAGCTGTTAACTATTATTCACAATCTACCCCACTGTCAGCCTGACTTCCCTGAGGCCGAATAAACCAGCAGAGAAGACTTCCCAGTTTCTTTGCCTCTCACTTTTTGCAGATGGACTCAGATTACAGCAGCTAGTTGTTAACATTACGAGGTTAAATGGCTTTCTGTGAAATGTACAAAGACATAATAATTGCCACATTAATTGGTCAATAACTTTGGATTTATTGTGGAAACAGTTCTTCATAAATCACCAGTACATGTTTTACAGCTGTGTTAGTCTTGACTTTATTGTCCACTTAATACAAAATATACTACACTGACAAGCAATACTCACATACCTGAGGTCAGGCTTCAGGGTCACCTACATCCCGTGTTATAGCTCATTGCTTAAAGGGGCGTTTCATGCGTTTCTTTGTCTTTCTTTTAAGTGAGTTTTTGGGGCCATTTCTGCCTTTTTTCTACTGTACAGCTGAAGAGAGACAGGAAGTGTTGGGAGGAGAGAGTTGGGATTACATGCAGTAAAGGTCGAGGTCGGATTCGAACATACAAACGCTGCAATTAGGTCTTTAGTGTCCGTACATGGGGCACACAACATAACCACTAGGCTATCCAGCACCTGTTTTGTTCTTTTCTGACATGTCATAGAGGTTACTAGAAAAGCTGTACCACATCCTCTGAGTCCTTTCTTTCTACTTAAATAATGTAGAGATCTCTTCATGGCAGAAACATAAAGGTACTTAAACGTTTCGGGTAGAGCATCGATATGATAAGAAAACTTGCCTCTCATAGCTATAACCAGCTTTAAGTGCTGGTGATCAAATCTGTAAAGTAGATTTGATCTGCAGCCAGGGCAGCTGCTTGGGGCCCCTGACCAGTAGGGGGGCCCAAGAGGGTTGACAAACTTTGGACCAAAGCAGCAACCCAAAAATGTGCAAATTTTGCAATGACTGTAGAAAACCGGTGTGCCGGTGGGAGGACCCCTGAAATAACTTTTGCCTAGGGCTCCAACAGACCCTAGACTCACCGATGTCTGCAGCTGAATGGTAGCATGGTTTAAAAATCACTTTAACTCAAATAAACATTCTCATCTTTATGTTCTCTCTTGCAGCCCAATCTGCACAGTCACGCCCTGCCTCGAACCAACTCCTCCTCATCACTACCGGGTAAGTCTCACATCTGGTCTGATTAACTCCATTTCACCCATTAGAGGGATATTTTTCTGCTTGAGAAGATTAAACAGTGATGTGATTAAGTGAATGAATGGCCCCTTGTGAACGCTTTAGACTCACAAAGTAACATGTAGTGTGTTAAAAGAATGTTATTCTCACAGCATGTCACATTAACCTTCATCTTGTTTGTTGCATCTTCATTTTGCTTCAATCATTGCATGTGTGTATTGACATTTGTGCACGTGCGTCCACTCATGCATGTGTGTCTCGTCATTAGACTTTGGAGCTCTTAACCCAAACATAGCTGCACGTGGCTCCCCCCAGTTCCCCATTGGAGACGTCTTCGCTGCAGACATGACTTCACCTGGGCGACCTCTATTACGCTCACAGTCTTTCAACAACACCCCAGGTAAAAAGCCCCTCCGCCCTCTCCTCCTCCTCCTCCTCCTCCCGGTCCCTACGCAAAGAGGCCGAGCATTGTTTACCGTTTCAGCTCGGTGAAAAAATTGTTACAGACCTCTGGCAAAGAATAAGTCCGCGCAAAGCTCAGCTACCTCATAAACTCCCCCACCCCCTCCTCTTCTCGAGGCCCGTTTTTCGGTATTGTTCAGACATTCGCATGGCGCCATTCGCCATCCCACACCTCAAAGCCTTCATCTGTCTCTGCTCTGGAGCCGGGGCCTCTTGGGTAATTACCTCACCTGAAGGCTGCTTTCTAGCTTTTAGGGAGCTGTGAATGCTGTCACTGTAACACATGAGCTGTTCTTCCAGTTCTGTGATAGGCGGGCAACATCTGTTTGCCAGAACAAACTCCTCCAGAATTTTTTTTCCGAGAAAGCATCCCACCCCTTTAAAAAAGTCTTCTCCCCCACAGAGGGAGCATTTGAAGTCAATTAAAGAACACACGTATCTTCCAAATGCCCCCCCTTGTTCCAGCCTCTTCAGCCATAAGAACATCCTCGTCCCCTCTTGTCTTGTGTCCCCCTCACTGCTGGTAGTCCACCGCATGGTCGCTTTCGCAATGCCTCTTGGCCACCTGCCCTCCACACGGACTGTTTCCGTCGGCATGGAAAAAACTAGAGCCTGTTTTGCATCATCAACATCAGGAGGTGTGGTTCTTTCTTAACTGTGGAGCCATTGTTGAGGTAAATGTCAAATCAGTGGATGCGGATAGGACTTTGGCTTCCTCAACTTTTCCCCAAAGGAGTTGTGAAGCAATCCTGACTGCTTTAATCTCACAATCAAAACCCAAACATTGGTCTAAACACACACGTGTGTTCCATTTAAAATCCTCATTAGGTTATACAAAACATCCTCAATCGCTCCAATGATGCTCAATCCCTGGCAACCATGTGTGCAACTGTTTGAATGCAATTACTCCTTAAAACAAAAACACCTTTGTTCAACTGAGAAGCCAATCATTTGTAAATACGAGAACGATTAGTGCTCCAGATGACAAACGTTTTGGCAAGGCGCTGTAGAAAGAATCGTCCAAAACCTGAGCGAGGAAGAATTAATTATCTAATTTATCTGTGCAAACCTCTGGACAGTATCCCACTGAGACTGTGCTGTAGGGTTGAGGGAGTTAATACAAAAAACAACAGAAAAATTGTTTGTCACTTGTTAGTTTGTGGACACTCCTTTTGAAGCCTTGAATTTGCATTTTTGTTTCGTTATTTTGTCACCAATTTCTTGATTTTGCTCTAAATTGGATCATGACTTGCAGAAATAATATCATGCTGCATTGAAGAGGACTTGGAAGTAGTGACAGAACTCTTAAAGTCATTTGGAAAATGTTTACAGAGAAAGTAAATCAAGTGAGAAGTAGGGTCATTATCCCATTTGGTTTTCTATAATTCAACTTCCTACTGCAGCTTGTGGAGTTGCCTCCTTCTAGCCATTTGAAAGACCACCAAGCGACAACCCATTTTATTTCAAATGCAGAATCAAAAAAGCTGCACTCCCTCAACTGTCCACTTGAGGCTGCTCCAAAATGAAGAAATCCCCATTATAGCCCATATTAAGACATCATTTTTTACACAAAAATTACAGCCTGGTACAATTTTTTTTTGTTCTTTATAGATAGTTCTTTCTAACTGCACAGTTAGTTTATTTATTTTTTCAACTCATATGTTTTGAGGAGGTCGTGTTGAAGCTGTTTACCAGAATGCCGTCTTCACGTTAGCCTAACTCCATTACTAACCTTGAACTGTCAGCTTCGTTCATGTTGTTGTTATTGTTTAGCATAAGCTAGATGACGAACCAGACGAGCAAGATGTCGTCTTTGAGCAACCAAGATATACATTCGGCCCGTCCCAACTCCACCTCTTTGCCCTCTTCTAGATTTAAATGTTAGTTGCTTGGAGTCAGCCTTTTCAACACAGCGACTTCCATCATTGCATGTCATAACCAAGCGCCTTTTGCCTGTCGTTAAGGTGACTAAAAGTTTGATAGAGTCAGCAATTCCCATATGGTTACGGCCATATTGGATTCCAAAAGAGCTCTATGACTCCTACATTTGCTTCACTTTACAAAACAACTGGCTACGTCTTCTTTGCTCAAACTACAGTAACATTAAAAACGGTTTCTTATCTCTGTCTTCCAGGGTCTCCACTCCATTATCAGCACCACCACAACCCTGCATCCCTCCTGCCTCACCACCAGCACTACCACCTGCCCTACATGGGCCACAGTCACTTCCCATTCCCGTACCCGGGCTCTCCTGGTTCCCCCAAACCAGCCCTCCACCCCCCTCTCACACGTGTAGCCAGTAACCCCACCTTCCCCTCCATCCCCTCCCCTCTACCTGGTTCTCCAAGTCCTCTGACTGAGACCCCAAGCCCTTTAAGCAACGAGGGTGTCAACATGTCCCCACCGGGCCCCCAGCACCCCAACATGTGGCCCCCTCACACGCAGCCGCTGTTTTCCTTAGCAAATGTCATCTCCATGGCGATGAGCATGGCGCAGTCTTTCATCCCTCCTACGAGTCACTCAGCCCAGGGGATGCCCTCCTTCCCAGGCTTCCACCCACAGCTGCCTAGTCACATGAACCCTCAGCCGGGTTACCCCTCCGTCTACCCCCAGCATTACCAGACCTCACCAGTAGAGGCCCACTACCCTGCAGCACAAGGGAACATCTACCACAGCCCTGAGAGTACGCCCCAAGTTGACGGCTACCCCCCAGAGCGCTCATCCGGCCTGGATGTATCAGGTTTCTCCACCCTCCATGCCCTCCACTCCTCCTCTGGTTCCTCAGGAGCCTCCGCAGCAGGTTGGATTCTCCAGTACGACAAGCATGACCAGGGAGGACGGTGCCCAGAGTTATCCAGCTCCATTCTCAGCAATGGTTCAAGCTCAGTCTGAACCCAAATCAGATGTTTCCAGTTCAAACTCCTCGTCAGATCTGTCTCCGTCTCCCTCAGAGAGCCCAGAAAACACTGTAAGCATCCTTTAGCTACTTTTTTAAACTGATTTTCTCTCTGTTAAAATGACTTAAAAATGATGTACATGCGAATAAGTGACAAAATAATTACCATTTAAATATTGAATAACAGACAGATTAACCATATGAGTATTTTGTCCTGGTCAAAGTACCACCTACTCACCTGTGTCAGCATGTTCAATACAATTTTGGGGGTTGTTTGGACAGAGCAATCCATTTAAAGATTCTTACTCAGGGTTTGCACTTTTCTGAAATAATATTATATAGGGATATTCCTATCTACCTTTTTCTAATCACGTACTCACCAGTGCACCTTTTATAATAATAATAATAATAAAGTTGATTTATAAAGCACTTATCAAAACCAACGTCACAAAGTGCTTTACAGAAAAAAGAAAAAATCCCAACAGTAGGTAACACAACAATGAAATCCTATTAAAAGCATGAAAAATAAAACAACAGTGCAGCAATCATCCAATTAACAGAGAAAAGGGAAACAACTGAGACAGAGATTGGCTAAAGTTAACAGTAAAACAAATAAAACATCCTGAATGGAACAAGGATGATAATAAAAATGATAAAAATGTGTTTTTAAAAGTGATTTAAAAGAAGATACTGATGTAGCTAAGTCTGAGATCGTAGCTCATTGTGGTCATTGGGGATTACTCCGGCACAAAAAAACTAAGAAAACCAAAAAATGATGACCCTCCATATATGGCCCTCTAAATATAATATATTGATATCCAAATCATAGACATACAAAAATACATTTGTTAAGAGAAGTTTCTTGGCAGCAGCTAATTACTTTAGTTCTTTTTTTTTTACTACATTTGTATATTTACTTTAAAGCACCAATGACATCAAGTCAAATTCCTGTTGTGTTTAAACCTCCTTCAGATTCTGATGTCCTGCAACATGAACTCTAATATTGTTGTTCTTCCTTTACAGTTATCATCCTTCAGCACACAAATTCGTCCCGCTATACCCGAGATGCACACCAGTACCCCAAAACCAAAAGCTGCTTCTACTGAATCTGGTAAGATCTTAATACAATTATTTCTTTCTCATCGAACAGAAATGAAGAACACAAGAAAGACAAAAGATGCCAAATGAGGAAGGAGGAACATAGGATAGGGAGGGGGATCAGTACGGTATGGAAGCCCTATGAGGACATGCATGTGTACATTTTATTTTTCTCAGTTTTTCCATGGTATTTAGTTAATTTCAATCATTTTCTTGAGGTCAAGAAATAAACTTTTTATATTGCACAAAGCAGCATTTTTATCCCAAGATAATAAGATAACTAAGACGAGATCTTGGAAAATACCCGTACTCGAAAATGTACTCGTTATCACAAAAACGTTGAGTAAAATAAAATGAGTGGATGTAAACCTGCTCAGGACTTCTGTAGCGGGGCATGAGCTTCACTTATATGTAAGACTGACTGCAGTTGCGTTTACATATTTTAAAAGCAGATGCCTTTTCACAAGGTTAAGCATTGTAAGGAGAGTAAAATGTAACTGAGCTAAATGAAAACAAGACGGTATCCATCTTTGTTTGCTGGATTGGACTAACTTCTTTTTGGAAATAAAAGCGAGGATTTCTGTTTATGTTCTCGTGTGGCTCAAACTGTTTTCACCTCCGTCACCGGACCACAAACACCTAGTGTGGTGTAAGTTAGTAGCCAGGTACTGGGAGAACTGGAAAATGACATAACTGTGTGATGTTGATGTACTGTAGGTATCCCAAACAAACACACACACACACACATGCTTGTAGTATACACACACACACACATTTATCAGCAGCCAAACATTGTACGTTTCTTCTCCCTATGCTCCATTTTATGATTTTTTTTTTTGGGTCTGATGTCTCTCCTCGATACGGCCTTGTTTTTCACTTCCCTCACTCTTTCTCCACTCCGTCTCCTTGGTGACATTATCGCCCCATTAACGGGGCCTCAGGAGCCGTTGCGTAACCGAGTCTGGATGTAATGTTCCACTCAAAAACCAACACAAACGTAGGTGTGATGGCGGCCCTACCCACCGGGTAACGACCAATCAGGGAGCCGCCGCGCTCATTTACTGGCCTCTCCTCCCCACATCCACACCTGTCAGTGTTTAGAGCCCCACAGTCAACAGAGCCTCTCTGTTTCAGCGGGCTCTGACCCAGACACTGCGTCTGTTCGCTGTTAGGAGGACACTCAGTGGGCAGACGGAGGCACTGCAGGCTCTTAAAATCCTGGTCTGCAGATGTTTGATTTATTTATTTAAGATACTCTGCGCTATTGCCAAGAGAGACCTGGTTCAGACCACAGCAGCAAAACAATCAAAGATGAATACATTGGAGAAAATAAATCAGAACTGTGACAAGTGGAAACGCAGAACTCACACATTCAGATTTTAAATGTTGACTTCACATGTAAGTGGATAAATAAGAAGTATGATGAAGATGAATTACTCCACTGAAAAGCTCTGCGCATGGATAATAACGACCATTTCACAAAAAAGAATACAGAGTTCTATTTGAGGGGTTTAAAAACTGATTCCAAAGCTGGACAGAATGTAAATGACTTCAGATGTTCAAACTCTCGGCTAACGCTGTGGAAACAAGCTGTGATGTGACTCCAGTAAACAACTCAATCAGTGACTATCACAGCCATGAAGTAAAGCTCCATTTGTACAGAGATTACTATTTTAGGAAACAGCACAATGAAAACAGAGAGAGAGAGAGACACATGATTAGATTATAATCAAAGCCGGGCAATCAGGAAACTCTGAAGCTTTGTTCCAATGATCAATCACCTCTGAGCAGATTAGAGAACAATCAGTGTCACTGAGCCAATGATTGGCCGTCACTCATATAAATACAACATCCAGATGTTAGAGCTTCTTATTCTTGGAGGCTAGAAGTAAGTAGAGGCAGAAACACAGCTTCAGAGAATGGATGTTTACCAATGTGATTTGTTTCTTTAGTAGTAGATGTTCTTTTTCTCATCAAAATGAAGGAAATGGAAATTATTTCAATGTCATTTAAAAATCAAAACATGTAAAAAATGTATTTTGTCCCCGTTTTTCCCCCGAACAATCTAATTCAGAGGACATCCAGCAATTTGTATCCACAGAAATGATTATTTTTTGGTTCAACAGGTTCGTTATTATTAAACTGTGTGGTCCTTTTATTGAGTAGTAGACATATGGATGCATCACGACATTAGTTTTTATTTTCTAAAAGGAACTGAGCAAGCAAAAAATGTCTCCAGTATTTATAAAAGAATCTAAAATATATATACGATTAAATTTGTGTTAACTCCTCCTTCTTCTTTCTTTCTCTTTCTCACAGGAGTCCAGTCCGCTCCGGTCACCGTCGGGCGCTTCAAGGTGACGCCCAGCATGGACATCCCTGCGCCTGCTGCGACAGCGGCCGCCGTACCTGCTGCGCCTCAGCCCGCCGACAGCGGCAGCACCCAGTCAGAGAGCAGCACAGAGGAGCAGGGCGAGTCCGAGACGAGCATGGGCACCTCCCTCACCATGTCCCCTCCTCAGCCGCACCCCCACAGAGGGCTGACGGGGGTCAAACAGGAGGTGGACGGGGCCGCAGCATGGGCTGGGAGCCAGGAGACACAAGAGCAGGACAGAGAAGAAGAAGACGAGGAGGAGGAGGAGGAAGAGGAAGACGAGGAGGAAGAAGAAGAAGAAGAGGATGTAAGGGAGCGACAGAGGATGAGGAGAAGGACGAGAAGGAGGGCGCACAGCCTGAGCCTGATGGGGACGTCGGCGGATAGCGGGCTCTCGGTGACGGCTGCGGAGTCGGGGGAGGGGAGGCTGTGGGACGGAGCGGTGGGCAGCCCGCAGTACAGCAACGCCCTCCATCACCTGTGGATGATGACGTATAACAGAAACACTCCCTACCTGAGCAGTGACGACTCCGACAGCGATGATGAAGACATGCTGGTGGAGCTTCAGGAGCTCAGAGAGAAGTAAGTGACAGAGAGTGAACCAGAGAGGTGCTTTGAACAGGAAATGGAGACTCGTCCTAGTATCTAAACAACTCATTCGTTTCTTTTTTGTCCCCTCTCAGACACCTTACCGAGGTTCAGGCTCTGCAGGCCGCGCAGAAGAGGGAGATCGAGGAGTTGTACGAGAAGATGGGGAAGATCCCTCCTCCGGGCATCGTCTCTCCCGCCGCCATGCTCTCCAGCCGACAGCGCCGCCTCTCCAAGGGGAGCGGCTTCCCCTCGTCCCGCAGGAACAGCCTGCAGCGCCTCGACGTACTGCCACTCCAGGGTGAGGAACAAATCCACATTTCTCCATTTTTTTTCCATGAGAATTCTTGGCGCCCAAAATGAGTTCTCTAAAGCTTGTGCCGTTGTTTTTGTTTTCCTCAGGTATCATCAGGAGAAACTCTCTCGGAGGCAGCAGCAGCGGATCCCAGGATAAACCCAGCAAAGGTGTCACCTTTGCCACTGACATTAGTAGAATGGTGAGTGAAGATTGAAGCATTACTTTTTTTTTTTTCCTCGTTAAACTCGACGATGAAGATTCTCACTTTTTCTTCTTCTTATTTTTCCAGTAAGAAACTCAGCCAAGCACGCTGTATTTTTTCTACCTCATCTGAAGTGTGACAACAGTGGTCAAAAACCCCGCACAAGAGGAACACTCTTCACTGGCACACCGATCAGCAAACGGCTTCTCTCTCCGGCCGTTCAATTACCTCAATGTCCAAAAACGAGCTGTCATCAGTGAAGCTGGATCCACACAGGAACTGTAACTAATCCAGTTTTTTTCCCCCGCCCTCTTTCGGTCACATCTGGTGAATTTGTTGCAGCTGGAGCACAGAATACCTACTAAGTTCTTTTTGTGCTCTCTTGTAAATAAAACTTTCAGATCCACTGGTGCGGTCACAGAACTCTGCAAAAATGTCACATCACAGGATGTTTTTCAATGTTTCTCTGAGGGATTTGTTTTTTTGTCGTTGTTGCTTTAACGCAGTCAAATCATATTTCAGAGAGCTGCACTGACTATGACTTTGACACAGAATAATAATAGTTACTGTTTCCCTTCCTGTCTGATTCACTGCCGTGTGTCAATGTGAGGCTCGGACACTTTTTACTGACTGTTGTTCAAAGACAACACTTCTGATAATCTTGTATCTTTACTTGCTGTAGTTTTGTGTACATACATATATATATATGAAGATGTCTCAGCACCTGCTGAATGCACAGTGAATACACTCTGATCATCGCCTTCCAGGGGCCGTAGAGAGCAATCTAGATGCTTTGTACACTTCGATGAATATTTATCGTTTATGAAATCATTTTCTGAAGTTGTTCCGACACCTGAGAAGATTTCTTACACTCGGTCTGAAGGAGTTTAGCTGCATTTAGCTGAGCAGTTTGTGCAACATGGAGATAACTGTTTCTGTTAAAAAAAAAAAAAAAACATACTATGTCAATGCTTCAGTAAGAAACAAAAGGTCTGTTAGCGTAGCACTTTCTTCAGCAGAAAGACTCAATCTGTTAGTCTGCATTCAACGGTACGCCATACCATAGCAGAGACGTCACTCGTGAATTTTCTAATTAAAATGATTTCTCTGTATTGATTAGATGTACAAAATCAACCTAGGTTTTAAACTACTGGCTTTCCTCTTTGTTGTACATGTGTATATAGTAGAGTGCATTTTTAGATCATGTTTACGAGTTAGGAGTAAACTAAACTTTAATTTTCGCTCAAGCAGATTTCCTATTTGTCGCTTGTTCCATAGATCAAGCACCTTGTGCACTTTAGTCGATTCTACTTCAGTTCTCGATCACGCGTGGGTGAGACTGTGTTCACCTGAGGGAGAGCTGAGGTGTATTTACTGTTCCTTCCTCCCCCCTAATGGAAGCAGATCTTATTCTCTCCAGTTCATTTCTGATCATAATAATGAAGATCAAACCCTCCAAGATTTTTTTTTTTTTTAACTAGTGCATTATGGGGCTTTTGACAGATCAGTCCAAGCTGTGAATGTGTAGACGTTGCCTTATCAAAATATTCACAATTCACACTGAATTTTTCCGGTAATGGAACTCCTGTAAAAAAAAAAAAAAAAAATGTTTCCAAAAGTTCGTAATATATTCAAAGAGGTCTCAAAATTTTGAATGTAAATAGATATAATTGTATTGCTTTCTGAAGCTGCTGCTGTCCTGCCATGCTGAAATCTGTGCCTTTCCCTGACAATGTCTTATTTTATATTTGTACCTTTTGAGATTTGGTGGTTAGATCAGACTCCATGTATCAAATTTCGACAACAATAAATGCAATTGTACAGTAAACACGAATGTTTTTTTTGTCACTGTTGTATTTCTTGTGTTGATGAATAAAAAGAAACATGACTGTTTATAAAATCAAATACATAATACTTTTATTTTACAAATCATCATATCGACATGAATGTGTTTTAAGAGCTTGATCTGTTTTTCAGCAGTGTCACTTCATTCCCAGCTGTTAAAAGGCAACTATAGATTAGGCATCATAAACTATCTGGATTTAGGATACTCCTCTTGCACCGACTGCAAATCACATAATCAGGTTTGGAAACTTTTCAGAGAAGGTGTTGTAAGTCCTTCATAGTCGGGGTAGCAAATGAGGGTCAGAGGATTACTCTCTTGCACTTTAAATAAGTTGGACACATAAGTCAGCAGCCAAACCACACAACTCCCTTTAATAATCAGGGAAAAATAAATTCCAGTGCCGTCTCAACATGAAAAATGGGCTGACCGTCCAGGGAATATTACTCAGTGGCATCAGTGTCCATGTAAGTCGATTCTCAGTTAAGTGCAGTAAAGACACACAGTCCAAAAAGTAGAAGGTGACACGAAGCGGCTCAGTTGGCACCGTTCTTTGGTCCCTGCGTTCTCCGAAGCTTGGCTTCCTCGTCCATTTCATCCATGATCCGCTCCTGGGAGACGGAGTAAAATGTGTAGCCGTCTGGCGGGGGGCAAGCGGTCAAGGCAAATATTTGACAACAAGAGAAATCAGATAACATGAAGGTAAACAGAAAAGCGTATACTACATCAGTCATAGTCATGTTATCACCCTACATATAATGTTTATATTTATACCCAAGGCAGACGCTCAGTCTGTAGGGACTTGAGTTGGGCACCTGAGGGTCACCGGTACCCAAGACCAAGACCAAGGGTTCAAGTCCTGATGTGGATCACCAGGAAGGACTGCTTACTGTGGAAGTTGCTGGAGACATGTCAGGTCACTTCCAGAGTACTGCCGAGGTGCACCGAACCCCCAACAGCTCTGGAGCGCTCCCCGTGTAGCAGCCCCCCTCTGACATCCCCCCCATCAATGCATGTCATAGCTCCTGTTTGTGCAGGTGTGTTATTCAGACCTGTGTGTGAAAACATGTCTCCCAATAACAGAAACATACAAATAATTATATGACAGTCTAATACTACAGATTTGTAACCCTTCCTCATCACATTAAAGTAAAGTGGTCGTTTAGTTTAACGGGGTGTTATAGAAACCGATTTCTGCCAAGAAAAATGTAACGCATAAAACATTTGAATGTTCATGAGCAAATCGATGTTGAAATTGTGTGGAAAATGATTGGATTGTAAATATCAAATATAGTATCATAAAATATAGTACAGCAAATTGTATAAATAGAGAGATTACAAGGAACACAGGAAGTTAATTTAATTTATAAATATTAATTATTGAGCTGTGGAAAAGGGGGTTGGGTTAAATACGTTTCATACTTCTTTTCAGGCAGATCAATTGAATATATAATTTACTTTTTCTTTTTTTTTTAGTGAAATAATTTGAACATTTTTTTTGTTTATTGTATTTTTGTGCTTTTTAATTATTTATTTTATTTTATTTGACATGTCTGAAATAAATTAAATCAATCAATTGTAAATAAAACATGCGAGAATATGTTTATCATTTTTTTTAAATAACTAAGTTAGTTAAACCTGACTGAACAATGAACATCCACTATCATTACCTGTCCTAATCTAATGGTTTATTATTTACATTTTTGGACAATAAAATAGTTTTTTATTGGCTTAAAATCCTACCACAAAAAAATATTGCATCTATTTGATATAAAAATAAAAAAAAAACACTATATTTTGTAATCAGCTGAGACAACATTGATGTTATTTACCTCCCTTAGACAATAAAAGCCAAATTTTCATTTTCACTATTTCATCACGTCCCCCCAGTGACGTAATTCTGCAGCCAACAACGTTAGAAACACGCAAAGATCAAACTATCCTTCATCTTTAATCACAATGGAACTGCAGGATAACTTTAGCACGCTAAGCTAACGTTACATAGTTCACCTTGTGACGTCAGCGTGCACCAGAAGGATACAGATTCCCAGCACGAGCGCTCCGATGACGAGTCCCGTCACGACGTTTCGTGTCCGCAGCTGCTGGGTTTTCTTCTTCCACTGCTGGAGCTCTACCTGTCGGATGAAATGCATCTGTTCCGGAGAGAGACCCTCTTTGGTCGGGTCTATCCGGGTCGCGAAGGGAGCGTTGGGCTCTTTCGGCGTCTTGTCGGCCATGTCTGCTGCAGTCAAGAAGAGCAGAAGTGGGGGGGTTTGGTCGCAGCAGTTATACGCACAGCGAGGTACGGTGGCCCTTGAAGGACACATGTTTCATGATCGCGAAAAACATCTCCTACATAAGCAAAAAAAACCTTACACTCAGAGTCCCATTTATTTACAGTTTATGGTCCCACTCAAAAGAAAATAAATTCATTACAAAGTTATGAATAATTTATTCCCTTCTTATGACATTTCAGGAACTAAGATGAATAGATGTTTATTGTCAGGTGCACAGGTACAGGACAGGACAGGTACATTGGAATTCTTGTGCGTTTCTCCCTGAGTCAGCTTCTACAAAAAAAAAGGTAAAATTATATATAAAATAGAAAAGCATTGTAAGAAAAAAAAAATAAATAAAATAAAGAATAAATAAATAAAAAGTTGTAGTAACAGCTAAGTGATTTACAGAAGTTATACACAAAGACATTTTGGATCTTATAAAGACTGTGCTGATATTCCCCACGCCCAAAGACAGACAGAGCAAGCTGCGTAACCAGAAGATAATACCTTTCCTAAGTACACCCTCTCTTCGCCCCTCTATAGCTATATGTTATATACTTCCTCTGTGACCTTGTTTGTTTTTTGTTGTTGTTCTCTGCCTGTTTTTATTTATTTTTTCTTTGTCTTGTTTTTTTTTTTTTTTTATATATATATATTTTATTTTTTGTCGGATGTTGCAAACGTCTTAACGAAAAGAAAAAATGTTAATGCATACTGTAAGCTGTCTTTAAAGTTGAACTTTTTTAAATGAAAAAATAAATAAGTTATACACTGTATTAAAGCAAAGATATAATACAAAAAAAAATAACTAAGGGGAACTCTGTACAATGAAATGAAAATATAAATATGTTTGGGAATATCCATAAGATTTGGATTTGAGATTAAGATTTAAGATTTAGATTTGAGAGCAATGAATGCTATTTCTGTAAAAACAATATTAAGACAACATAACATGTTTGTATCATGCTCTCATATTCAGCTATTCTGGAAACAATTCATGAAATGGTTTTATAGAAAAAAGGGTAAGAAACGTGTCATAGTCACAATAGCATTATTTTTGGAGTATCGTTAAAAAACAGACAAATGACAATTTTTTAAACTAATAAGGCTAAATTCACGACTCAACCTATGCTCTCTACGTCCCTTAAATTCATGAAATGAAAATGATTTAAATTGGCTAATTTAAAAATGACATCACAAATGAAATGTCTTGTTGTTGATTTGTTGTTGTTTTGTTTATTTATGTTTGTTTTCTTGTTAATTTGTTTCAATATTAGGTATTCTGTTTTTGTGTGCTATGATTTTATTTTCCCTGCCAAGAAACTGTCTGTGTTATTTGCTTCAAGGAATCCGTGTATGAATGAAGCCTAGTGCAGTGCTTCACAAAGTGTGGGCCGCGGCCCCCTGGTGGGCCGTGTGGGTACTGCAGGTGGGCCGCAAAAGCCCTCCACCAATTAAAAAAAAAAAAAAATCACAATAATGATGATTGACCATGAGTTAACCCTTTAAGTGATTAGTAAGGCGTGTCATGGCTATTCATGGACATATCGTTTAGTAAACTTTTGTGTCTATCTTGTCATGATGTCATGTTGTAATGTCCAATAATTTACCCTGACTGAAAGTTATAGCTGTAGTCATAGTTTTTGTTTTTATAATGGGCCCCGGAGTCATTTTGTACTTCAAAGCGGGCCGCGGCAGTCTTAAGTTTGGGAAAGGCTTAGTGAATGCATAACACTGAAAATATCAATTTATGAATATATTAAAAATAAATATTATTTTATTATTATGAATGTTTGCCTTACAGTTTGTGCATTTTTATTGACCACAATTTTTTTTTTTTTTAAATAAAAAATAACGCCTTGTTATGGAAGCCCATTTCCGCCAGTAAAAAAATAAATAAAAATGTAAATAATAAAGTCTCACAATTTCAACTTTTTATCTCATAATTTCGACTTTATATCTCATTATTATTACTTTATTATTTTCATTTTTATTTTTTTAACTGGCGGAAATGGGCTTCTATACCTTGTAGCGTACAGCCTGCCGGAAAGAAGAAGAAGAAGATTTAAAGATAATTGATTTGTGTCCTGGGATGAAACCGGTTGAACCCGTGGATCTATAGCTCCATCTTCCGGTGGAAATAATTAACAAACAGAAACGGCGTTGGCTTCAAATATTATTCTTAACAAAAGTGTCAAACCACTGAATAATATTATATTCCGTAGTTTGTGCGTGAAACATTAATATTTATTTTGTCAGTTAAAGAAGTTAGCATAAATGGCAAAGAGATTCTTGTCTTCACCAAGAGACAAAATAAGTTCCAAGTTTGGAGAAGCTTCTTCTGAACTACTCAGTGATTTTCTAATTAATCTAAACAAAAGAAACAAAGACAACATTAAAAGTTTAGAAAAATGTAGCGGAACTTTCAAGGAGAAGAAACTAATGGGTGAGCGATTTATTTATTTTAATTGTATTAATTGTCAGCAAACGTTTTAATATTTTTCATGAAATGACGTCACTAATTGCTTTCTGACGTCGTTGAAATTTAACGTTTTTAATTTTAATTTCAACGTTTTGACCGTTTTTAATCGCGAAATTGCCAAAACTTCAGAATTTAAACTGGCTTTTAAAACGTTTATATCCGTTATGCGATAAAATGATGCACTTTTTTCCACATATTTCTATTTATATCTGCCAAGAAAGCCTTTATATAATCGTGCAACAGCTACATGTTTCCATACAACATACGGGTAAGCACACAGCTGTGATGATTAGTAGCCTATGCAGCTGTGATGATTAGATATGCATATTGCAAAAGGCTTGTTCCCCCATATTAATTAATTTACAGTTGTAGCCTACTATCTAAACAATTATTTAATTTCTACAGACGTTTAAACCATTGTATGAATTTAAAACACATTTTTGATAGAAAGTACGGTGGCCGGGAAGTGCAAAGCAAAATTACAAATGTGAGACAAAATTTACATTTTGAAAAACCTTAAAACAAAATTACAAAACCAAAAAACTTATACCAAGAAAAAAAACACACTTACATCTTATAAAACAAATTTACAAACGACAGAATCTTGACAAAATGGGAATGTACCAAATGTCGGAGGTGACCCGGAGTGAGGGGTCATTTTGTTTGTTTTGTTTTGTCGCGGTTCGTTCCCTTTTCGTAAAAGATTCTGTCGTTTGTAAATTTGTTTGGGGGACTGGTTTAAGTGTTCTGCCTTTGTAAATTTGTCTCAGCGATTGTAAAAGTGTTTCACATCTTCTTCACATCTGGTAAGTGTTTTTGGTTTTGTAATTTTGTTTTTGTAAAAAAAAGTAAAAAAAAGACTTGTGTAAATCAGTGTAGTGATGAAAGATACAACAGAAAACTCAAAGTACTTGGTCTTTTTCGATTCTCTTATTTTTTTGAAATTTTCAAAATCCAAAACAATAAACGCCAACCAGAATTTACATTTTTAGACACTTCAAATCCATCATTACCCCTTTACCTTTTCTGAAGATTATTTCCTTTTTAATATAGATGGAAATGGAAATAACAGGAGCAGAATGTACTGTATTTTGTAAAAATGTTTTTCAAAATGTGAATTTGTCTCACATTTTGTAAAAGTGTTTAACACTTTGTGAGTTTGCTTTGCGCTTCCCAGCCACCGTTAGAAAGTGTTTGTGTAGGTTGCACGGTGGTGCAGCGAGGAGGTTCCTGGTTCAAATCCCCATCGTACAGGATCTTTGTGTGGAGTTTGCGTGTTCTGTGCATGCGTGGGTTCTCTCTAAGTACTCTGGTGTGAATGTGAGTGTGGCTGGTTGTCTGTCTCTGTATGTCAGCCCTGTGAATGACTGATTTCCCCGTCATCGCTCCAATGACAGCTGGGATCAGCCCCGTGAACCCTGAATGGGAAACGTGTTCTCGATAATGATTGGATGATATTTTTGTGTTATCACAGTTTGCACTAGTTTTAATAATTGTACACTCAGTTGGGACTGGCTGAACTGCACAGGATTATATCTGAATGATCCACTAAGCCTCACTGAACCGTACCCTGTCATCACGCTGATGTCTCTCTTACACCTGGATGTGTGAGCCTTGTTATTACTGAGGCCAAACGACTGGAGGGAGTGTCTCACAGCTGTCAGGAGGAGTAACAGGAAAGCAGTGTTAATAACTTCAGATGAACGTCCATATGTTGCCTTGTAGTTTACAAAACAGCGTTAAAACAACATAAATTCACAGGGAAAGGTCTTTTTCTGTGCACGTCGGCGTCCCATTTGTTTCTTTAACTCTTGTCTGCCAGTGTGGGAGCTGCTGGCTCAACAAAGTGACCTGCAAACGTCATCGTATAGGCAAGAAATACCTTAATTTCTTTCAAACTGACTGGTCAGAGGAACAAATTGTCGAGTAAAGATAAAACAACATTTGATAATGGTGGTGTTGAGAAGTCATCATGGTTGTAATTCAGTGTTTGCACGGCTGTGATCTGATATTTTCTGCAAAATTAGAGGAAGGGAATCAGAAAATGAATGAATAGTGTGGCTTTCTTTGACTTCAGAAATGTTGTTTTCCTGCCTTTGCTGGTCTTATGTGTAATTTTATGTCATTATCTTTTCCGTGGGACGATTTGTACGGCGATCAATGATGAAAAAAAACTACAACAAATATTAACAACCTCAACCAAATTTTACATAAACTAGAATCAAGATGAGGGCCTAAAAGATGACGGCAACAATCTAATAGTAGCTGGAGACTAATGGCTCATATTGCATTAAACATTTAACATAAAAACATCATATCAGAATATGTTTTACCCCCCCTCCCCCCTAATGCATGCACGATAATGCCTTTGAATTGCTTCCTGTTCAAGTATGTTTTCAATCTCTGTCAACTCTGTCTAGGTATGCAGCGCTCACGCTTCCACTTTGAAATATATATAAACAGTTTATATTTTTGTGTTTGGTTCTCTTCTTCGATGTCTGTATTTTCTTAGAACA